GAAAGAACCAGAATAAAGCAAACACACTAGGAATAGACAACACCTCATTCAGGAGGAGAGAGGAGTCAGGAAGCTCTTTAGGTAGAGAATATTGAGAGGTGTTCCACAGACACCACTGGGAATTTGGTCCCTGGTCCCCTTTGGGTGGCAGCCCGCCCATGTCAGCCAGCACCAATAAATGACATCCTGGTCTCAGTGTTTACAAAGTCCTACTCATGGGAGAAGGAAACGGCTGGGCCTGGGAGGGGCTTAAGAGAGGCCCAGGATGGGAGGGTCACCAGGGTGGATGGGAAGGATGATGCCTTGGGAACTTCCCATGTCCCAGAAGACAGAGCAGCTGGGCTGGCAGGCAAGTGATTCTCTGCCAACAGTTCCCTAGCTGACAGGGCATGCCTGTCCTTGGGGAGGACTGCAGGCCTGAGGAGGCTGCCTGGTATCAGTCTCAGGAAGCCTGGGGAGCAGGGAGGACAGGGATCATCTCTTACTAATTTTCAGATGGTTAAAGCCCAAACAGCAATAGTTTTATAGTAATTAATAACAATAATAAAAATAATAATGACAATGGCAGCCATGATTAGTTGTCTGTCATGGGCCCGGAAGTAAGCTAGAAACTTTAGACAGATTATTAATAACTATACAAATTCTGTGAGGTCTGGATGATTACTCTTAATTTATAGTTGAGGTAAACTAAATAATTTCATAAAGGTCAAGCTAGCAGGCTATGAGAAAGGATCTGAGCCACTGTTTATATGATATTTTGGTCCCTGATCTCACCTCCAAGCCACATTGCTGTGAAACATTGACGTGACTTACCCAGGGCTATGCTATGGTGCTAACCCACAGCCAAGTTCTGAGCTGTCAATGCAGCCAGCACAATTTTCACCTAAATATACTATCCACCTACACATCTATACTGAGTGCTACTAACCACTTCCATGTATGTGCTCAAATATAATTAGGGTGACCTTGTGATTTATCACCCAAACTTGGATATTTCTGTAAGTGAAAAGAAGTCCTGTTCAGGATATTGCCTGGAACTAGCCAGCACACAAGGACATTATTGTCACCCAAATGTAATACACGGTCTCACAGGACTGGTGACACTTATGTCCAGTTGTGTTGGAAATCTCTTGGACCATTCCCTTTCTGATCTAGACATACACGCCTTTGTAGCAATTTATCCTCCCTTTGTTCACCAGGCTGTCTTGTAAGTTCCTTGAGCTCTTAGGCCTCAAATGCACAGGCTCTGTAACTTGAGTATAAAGCAGTCATGTCACCTCAAGTTGGGTGAGACTAGTTTTAACAAGGTAACTGAAAAGGACTGGTAGGTTCCTTGTGTCTTGACAACCCCGAAACTAACTGAAACCCTAGTCGTTCTGATGATAAACTCATCCCCCAAAAGTGAGGGCCCTATAGCTGTCTTCTCTACAACAGACTAAGGCCACTGAATGGGCCACAGGTTTGGGAGTAGCAGTCACTACTGTTGCCTAGACCAACTGAAATAAAGCAGCCTACTGCAGGGAAGTGAGCCCGGGTTGCCTGGAAGTCAGCACATGGCTCCACACGGCCAGCAGGTAACAGCTGGAAGGTGGGCAGCTCTAGTTTCTCTGGCCTTGCTGAGCCCTGCAAAGAAGAAGGCAGCATTTGAAGGCTTGATGACTTTATTTTACTTCTTCCCTAAGAATTTCCTTCTTAAGAATCTCAGGCCAAGAGAAAGAATCTGCTGTTCTTTCAAAACCAGAAAATCAGTCTTGAATCCAACTTACATGTTAATACAGGTAAAGTAAAATACTAACAAGAAAGCAATGGGCATCCATCCATCCTTTGGAGGAACTGTTTCTGGCATTTATCCAATCATGGAATACCACAGGGCTTGTGGGCCAAGGTATTTTCTGAGGCACTAGAAAAACTTGGTGGTACTAAGCAGCTTCTAACTCTGAGGGGCTCTTGGAGGCACTACCAGACAGGGCTCTAGGCCACACCTGAGAACAAAACCAGTGAGGCTTTTTATCTGTGTGCAGAAGGGCTGATGCAAGCCATGACTTTTGGTAAATAGGCATGACTCTTTCTCTAAGTTAAGGCACATGAACAGGGTGCTGGAGTTAGGCATGGCTTTATCTTCTCAGGGGCTGCTACAGCCATTGTGATTACTACCATTACCATTATTATGAATGTAAATCAAAGGATGCCTGAGATCAAGAGAAGGGAATGGCCTTGTCCAGTGCCAGAAAGTGGGTGAGAACAGGCAGGAGTAGAATAGTTCTCTGACTCATTGTTGGGCTTCTCAGCCTCTCATGTTGAGGAAATTGTAGTGGGATTCCTACTTGGGAATATTGTAGAAACCAGAGAGTGACCAGTGGGCATGGCCCTGGATCAGGTAATCTTGGAAAGTCAGAGTTCAGTGAGCCAATAGTAGTGATGACAGTGGTGACAGAGATCTGGCTGAAGAACATGGACTCTTACACATTAACTGCATGCCAGGCACTACCATGAGCACCACATGAGTGTTTCTCTTAGCCTCAGATCAACCCTATGGCAATGGTGTTTCTCCTATTATCCACATCTCACAGAAGAGGAACCAGACAGCAACTCAGAGAGGCTGAGACTGGCTACCTGGTGTTAATGGTGAGTAGTGAAGTGTGCATTTGGACCCACATTTATCAGACTCCCCACCCAGACTCTGCCCCTATGCATACTGCAAAGAGGAGGAGCCCCATGGATGACTTTCTGAGACATGGGGTGAGGAGAGATATTAGGTTGTTAGTGGTGGCAGAACACAAACAAGAGCTAGATCTGTACTCTCGGGCTCACAAAACTCCATTTTCTAAGACTGGGGCTTAAAATAGACTATGATTGTTGTCACTCCTAATCAGCCATTAGGGTGAGGGCCCCTTGTCAAACAGGCAGGAGCTTTCAAGAAACTCCACTCAGCCTTTCATTGTGGCCACAAATCACTCCCTGAACAAACTGCTAGGGTAGATTCCTTCTCCTGGAGGCAGATTCCAGAATGCTCCTCATTTCAGGTCCTTCACTGTAGGGAGAAGGGTTGCATTTGAACTCAAGTTGGTCAGCCTCCTTCACTCACCAGTTGTGAGCAACAGGAAAATTAGATGCAGGACACTGCACATTTTCATCTTCCCTCTTCTTTTCCCATGACTACAACTGTGGGAGTATCATCTCTGTGTAGTTGTAAGGGGCACAACTTAAGTGTGTTGAAGATGTCAGCAGCTGACATCCCTCCTTGGCTCCAATGGGAAGACAGCAGGGAGACAGAAACAAAAAATTTAGACTATGGAGTCTGTATCTGACCAACCGGAGAAGGATGCCTTGATGTAGCACAAATGCTTTTTAGGAGGCAAGTAGACTGGAGCTTACTTTGAACTTAGCCTTGGCTAGCCTGTGTTAGCCTTAGTCAGCCACTATTCTCTGATATTCAGAAAAACTTTATTTAAATGCAGACCATATGGAGATACATATCACCAAGTCTCTTCGGGCTACTTTGAAAATCAAATGAGCTTTCTCTTCCAAAGTACTATAGCTCTCTGTGTTCATGATTTAAGTTCACCACTGAATGAACAGTTCTTTAAGAAGAGAGGGCATGTCTTTACTCATCTACATCTTTGTACCCAAGCCCTGAACAAAGAAGAAAAAGTGTGGATGGCTATATTTGTAAGATTTGGCTTCTTTGAGGGCAGTGAACAGTTCCTTGTGGCTAGGAGACGTGAAAGAGGTAGCAGCACATAAAAAAGAGGCTGGTGTCGGGTTGGAGAGGACTTTAGGGCAATAGAGCAGAAAATGAGAATATCAAATACTTTGTGAGCAGTCATGGGAGAATGGGGCCATGGAAAGAACCTGAGATCTCCAGCTCAAGAGTGTGGATGGACTTCAGTCTCAGCTCATGTAAGTTCTTTAGCCTTGGTGACCTTATCTCCAAAATGGCACTAATCATTCCATTTCAGGGCCATTAGGGTTACCTAGCATTTAAAGTGACTACCAAAGTATTTGGCAACTATTTAAACTTCAGCCAATAGGACTGATTGCCCTAAATTATTGGGGAAATGCTGCCTTGGACTGTAGGATGTAAATAAATGTTAGAGAGGTTCGAGGTCAGTGCTCCTTCAGAGTAAGGAAGTGAGAAATAGTGCATGGTCATGCCTCACTAAGCACAATCTTAGAGCCAATGTGGAGAGAGACATTTGTTGTCCAGGTTTCCAGCAACTCCAGTGTGCTTCAGCATATCCGGACAATACCCTAAAACCACATGGGTCTCACGTGTCAAATACCACCAGAGTCTTACAAACCACCTCAGAACTCCCCATGGTCCTGCCCCTGAGGACCAGTTGTTCTGTATATACCTCCCTATGCCATACGGTCAATGGGAGGCAAAGCACACCAGGCTGAGAATAGATCTGATTCCTTTCTCTGCTTTGATCCTAAATCTCTTAAAGAGAGCAGGGCAAGTCACTCACTGCCATCTGTGTAATGAGGGTTTGGACTGGGACATCTTTGGACCTCAGACTAGAACAACCATTCAGTGGAGTGCTTCAGTAGAGCTTAACCTATGACACACACCACCATCTGAGGAAGGGATCTTACAAGGCACTCTTCTGAAAACATCATGAAAGCAGATCTTCCTGCAGAATGCCCCATCCCCAAACCAATGGGAGTGAGCTGAAGTCTAGGGCTGCCAGGTTTCTAGTTCTCAGAGAGCCTCTACCTATCTGTGCTGCCTCAGGGAAGTCTCTTTATACTTCTGAGCCTCAGTTTCCTTATGTAACCCTTAGAGGCAAGGATCCCTAATTCACCCTACTTCCGAGCAAACTGTGTTCTCCGACACTTCTCAGAGAGCCCAAATTTCATTTCACTCAGACACTCTGGGGCTGGCCGTCCTTCACCTTTGTGGACAGAGACAGACACACTTCCACAGGCAGGCACTGGGGAAACAGGATTCCCTCCCATGACTCTTGGGAAGGGGGAGAGAGTCAGAGCACTCAACATACCTGGGACAGCTGGGAAGCAGCTTATCTGCAGTGCTGTCACCCTTGGCCTCCCAGAAGAACTGTGATCTGCTCCAGACAATAGTACAGCTGCTGTCCTTCTTGGGCTTCCTGCTGTGAGGCAAATCAGGAGTCATATGATCAGCATTCAGCCCTTCTCTCATCCTCAAGATACTGAAAGATCCTGCCTTCCCAGCAGCCCAGGGGCCCAGGGAGGTAAATTCCCTGCACAGCAAGGCCCTAGGCACTTCAAACCTTGGTATGGAGGAAAAGGAAGTAGGAACAGTGGACAGGAGAAGGGACAAGGATAAGGTCCCCAGGGAAAGTAACTGAGGATAGGAAAAATGCACTTTCCATGGAAGACCCACTACACCTTCTAGCAAAATCCATGTTCAAGTCCCTTCATGACTGAGTTCATGCTAATTGACCCTCATTCTCTACAAGAGCTCTCGCCCTAAGCTTATGACTTTGTGTTCTCGCACCCTGTTCTATAGCTTAGACTTTTACCTCTGTCCTTTCTGCCATCCTTGATGACCAGCAGCTGTCACTTCCTCCAGGAAGTCTTCTCTGATAGCCCCAATATGGAGTCCTCACTGGCTTCTAACCCTTCTGAACCCTCATAGCACTTGCTAGCTTTGCCACTTGGCATTTAGCACCTATGAGCTGCCCCATCATTTCCTGGCTGGACTATTGCACCAGCCTCTTCACTAATTTGCCTGTGTCCCTGTACACTGCAGAAAAATGTTTCTAAAGTACACATATGATGATTTGTCTTCCCTGCTTAGATCCTTTCAAGGACTTCCCATACCTTCCGGATAAAATCCAAATGCACACATGTTTTCACCCCTTCTCTGGGGCTACCTGCATTCCAGTCACACCAAGTTACTCTCCAAGGTTACCTAATGAGGTCATACCAAGGGTGGGAGGAGAACACAGACCTCAGGACAACCATCTCTGGTTCTTCTTTAGTCCCAGATCCCCCCAGGACCAATGCAGAGAGATGCCTAAGAACACATGCCTAGGAACATGGCCAAAGTGAAAAAGCTAAGACCAATCAGGTACTAAGGGTTATTGATTTCACATTATCATAACAATCGCCAGTCCACCAAGCAGCAAAGGTCAAGAAAACATGTGAAGCCAAGGCATAAGACAGTTCATTTGCTCTTTACAGGCACTGTGGAAGAGGTTACTACTTCTCCTCTCACAGGCATGGAGACTAAGAATCACAGTCATCACAGCTTGTATCAGGAAAAAACCTCAGCCAAGAGCCTTCTCCTAGCCTGAAGAGTAGTAAATCTACCTGCTCATTGGCTGTCCCCACAGGGTCCCTCCCACATACCTCCCATCACCACATCTGATGCTAAACAATGGCACTCAGGTCAGTCACTCCGTCCATGTCCAGAATTCTGTCCAGAAGATCCTGCACTATGGTGAACACCCTAAGACCTCTGCTCCAAGACCAGGGTGGCCCAATGCCTCTGTAACTCCTTAAGTGGAAAACTATGTGAAGAGATTGTAACTTAACCGATGAGAGAAAATTCCACTCTAACTGCTCAGTATTTATCCAAAGAGGTGACCGAAGACCCTTACTGGGTAATGCTTCTCCCAGAGCACATCACAGTGGTAAGTAGGGTGTGTTTGGGATGGAGAAACAAGACCCACGAGAGAGAGAGACCACAGGTCTGTTCGCTGTGTGAACAATAGCACACACAAGCCCAGTGGCATCCTGGAGCTGTTAGCATCAGCTCGCTAGAGCCACCTCTACATCTCTTCCCAGCTTCACATTCAGTGAGGTCACACAAGTACTGTGAAACCAGCCATGGTGGGAATATTTACACCATGGAAATTGGTATGTGCCCTAATCAATTTTGTTGTTTTTGCTTATCCCAGAGAATCAATTAGCAAATATTTTCCAGCATATCGCTGAATGAATGTGTGAGAATACAAGACATTTAAAATGTAGCTGCAATTCTTAGGCCAACTCATTGCTACAGTTGTGCAAATTTCCTGTTGGCCCTGTTTCCTCTGAAAAGGACTGATGGATGCTTTGGCAAATGTGATAAGACATTTAGCAAAGTTTGCAGACATTTTTGGTCATCACAACTGAACTGTGTACGGTGCTACTGGCCAGAGTTACTGATAAATATCCTACAGTGCACAGAAGTTTCCCCATAACAAAGATGGTAGTACCTAAAATGTCAGTAGTGCCAAGGTTGAGATAACCTGCTATAAAGATATTCAAGCACAGAGGCTCATTCAAACCCCTGTACACATCAGCCTCCAGAAGTTAAAGAAAGGAACTGGGATCTGTTGGCAGGAGCCGTGTAAGGGCAATGGGGCAGAACATTGTGATGTATGCTACAGACAGACAGTGCTGGTGTAAGACAGAGTCCTTGCTCTAAAGGTGTCGAGCATACTGCAGGTGCTCAGCAGTGGCTTACGGGAAGAGACTGGGTGTACTTAAAATTATTGTGCAAACTCTCCTGCTGGACAACACTCCAAGTGTGTGCACACCCTCCCCCTCCCCCAGTGACACCAGGCAGAGGAATCTGACAAACATAACTTCACCTCCTCTGGAAAGTAGCACCAAAGATTGGTGTGAAGTTCCAGCCCTGGAGACTTGGCTTAGACAAATAAGCACTAAGCTGGTGACCCCGGCCACAATGGTCAGAAGAGCCATTTTATTTAAGCTGCTTTCTAACATGAGCTGAAATATCTTGAAAGGTGAGGTTTTCCAGCCCTCCTCTGGGGAGGCAATTGTTAAAGACACGCAGCAGGCAGCCTTGCTTTCAACACATTCAAAACCACATTTTTTAGACAATCCTTTTATCCCCTGTACCACTGGGGATTGAAAAGGCATTTAGCACAAACCACCCAAAGTGGAAACAGCACTGGGTAAAAAACACTAACAAGCTGTGGTGAGCCCTGTGAACCGCGACAGAATCCGACAGGCTGGTCCAACTCAGACCCTCACAAGGAAAAGAACAATAACACACTACATACCCAGTGTGCCCTAGCCTCTGGGGCCTGGAGTCAGTGGAGATGGGGGTGAAGCTTAGTCACAGCCTTTGGTTTGGAAGTCCCAGGTGAGACTCCTGACTGTAGGTCCTTGCGGTGGGGGAGGCAGCCAATTTCTAAAAGAGCACATGATAGAATGGGGACCTCCCTCTGTCGCTGTCTCTCCCTGAAGATCTGAAGCTGACCATAAACCGTCTGACTCACAAAGCCCTTTAATTAAAAGCCCAAGGGCTCATAGCTAATTCTAGATGTGGCAGGACCCAGTGGCTTCCCAGGCACCAGAACTTCGAGCAGAGTAATGAGGATAATTTTGCCCTTCCTGGTTCATGAATGACAACTTGCTCAACTATAAATTAGACTCTCGGAATGTCAGCGCACTGGAAGCCACCTGAGCAAGTGTCTGTACCCCTGTGCTTTGTGGATGAGGCCCGTGGCTCTGGGTGAAGCTGACTGCTCCCACACCTGGTAGTGCATTTCTCATCAGTTCTCAATTGAATGCAGGTTTTTGAGTACCCAGCACTGAGACTCATAGCTTGTTGGAGACAATGGTTTTCTGAGTTCTAGCCCCAGAACCACAAAATAATAATTAGCAATAAGAAAAACAAACAAACAAATAAATAAACCATCCATCTCTGTCTCTGTCTTCCATCTTTCATTTATCCCTCACATCCACAGCCCGGCAAAGTGAGTGCAACCTAGTTAAGAAGTATGCTTGGTTAAACAGATGGGCTTCTTTGACTCTAGTGCTCAGGCACAAAGTTGTAATATGTAAAACAACAATGGAATGACTGCTAGGGACTGAATATATACTCATAATTCCGTATGTTGAAACCTAAATCCCCAGTGCAATGTGTTGTTATCTGGAGGTTAGGCCTTTGGGAGGAATTAGATCGTGAAGATGGAGTTTCATGAATTAGATTAGTGGCCTTCTAAGAACAGGTGGAGAGAGATGGTTTCTCACTCTCTCTCCACCATGTGAGCATACAAGCAGAAAATAACCATCCGCACACCAGGAAGGAGGCCCTCGTGAGACAGCAGATCTGCCAAAGCCTTGACCTTGGATTTCTCTGCCCCCAGAACCATGAGGAATACATTTCTGTTGTGTAAGCATCTGGTTTATGGATTCTGCTATAGCGTCCCTCACGAAGACAATCGGAAATGGCAAAATAATTTTGCCATATTATTAATAATTCCCTGATTTGCTAGATTGCAAGCTTGAATTTTTTTCATACTAATGATGGCTAATACTTATGTAATTCTTTATGTACCAAGCACTTTACCAAATAATCTCCCCTCCTTACCAAAACAGCTTCCCATAGCATCTATTCCTCTCCTTTCACTGATGCAGACACAAAGGACCAGAATGTTTGGATGAATTTTCTGATATCACACAGCCAATCAATGGCAGAAAGTATCTGAATGTAAATCTTGTGTTCATTCTCCCAGAATGACCTGCTTCTTTACGAGGGACTGTGCTGACACAGGGCTAGATCAGATGCCATAGACCCCGGAAGTCACCTCCTTCTTTAACATGTCAGCTCAGTATAGTGATGAGGGCCAGAATCATTGAGGGTGTTGAAGATGGTGATGGCTATGGACTATCTTGGGGTCTGGATGTAGCTATACACCTGAAGGGTATAGGACAGTCATGGAGCCCCACTTGGTGGGTTGAGTTCTTGTTTGAAGTGTATTCAGACAGAGGAGCAGTGATGTGGAGAAAGAATCTCACTGATGCCAGGCCTGAGGACTCTCATTAGCTTCCTATATTTCTTATAGTTCTGGACATGAAGAGTCTGAGAACAAAGTGTGGCACCTCACCATTGTTTGCTGACAGCTCATGAGACACCAGAAAATAATACATGAAATGACAAATACAGCATGGGATTTGCTCTAATGGAAAGCAGAGCTGATATGGAAGCCCCGTGATGGGCACCGGACCCCAGCTTCATTGTGGGAATCTGGCTGGCAAAGTCTTCCTGGAGGGGCCATACCTGAGCAGAGACTGGAACACATATGACCCTTAGCCAGGCAAACCGAATGTGAGGATGAGAGTGGGAAGGAGGTGTCAGGCAGAAGGCACAGAGCCAATAAACATG